CCATGTATGTTGATGATTCAAATATCATTAGAACTCCCGGAGAGCTTCCTAAAGCAGTAGACTGTTTAAAGAAAGAATTTGAAATGAAAGATCTTGGAAAGATAAAATTTTGTTTTGGTCTACAAATCGAATATATGAAAGATAGAATTTTTGTCCTTCAATCAGCATACACTAAAAAGATTTTAAAGAGCTTCTATGTGGATAAAGCACATCCATTAAGTACCCCGATGGTTGTGAGATTACTCGATATAAATAAAGATCCACTCCGACCTCATGAAAATAATGAAGAGCTTCTTGGTCCTAAAGTACCATATCGTAATGCAATTGGTGCGCTAATATATCTTGCTAATACTACAAGGCATGACATAACCTTTTCAGTTAATGTCTTAACAAGATATAGCTCAGCTCAAGGAGAAATTGGAAAAAAATCAAACACATATTGCATTATCTAANTGCTCCGCTCAAGGAGAAATTGGAAAAAATCAAACACATATTGCGTTATCTAAGGGGGATTACCGATGTGGGCTTATTTTATGGCAATGATTGCAATACCGATCTTGTTGGTTATGTCGATGTGGAGTATTTATCTGACACACACAAGGCTTGATCTCAAACATGTTATGTGTTTACATGTGTGGCACTGTCATATCTTGGCGATCGACTAAGCAATCAATCGTGGCTACTTCTTCTAATCATGCTGAGATAATTGCTATTCATGAAGCAAGTCGAGAATGTGTATGGTTGAGGTCTACTATACATCTTATTCGAGACAAATGTGGTTTGAAGTGTGATAAACTACCCACAGTTTTGTATGAAGAAAATACAACATGCATAGCCCAATTAAAGGGAGGATTCATAAAGGAGTTAGGACAAAGCACATTTCACCTAAATTATTGTTCACACATGATCTTCAAAAGAATGGTGATATTAATGTGCAACGGATCCGTTCAAGTGATAATATGGCTGATTTGTTCACCAAATATCTACCGGCGTCAACCTTCAAGAAACTAGTGTACAAGATTGGGATACGAAGGCTCAACGATGTGAACTGATGATCTCATCAGGGGGAGTTAATACGCGTTGTACTCTTTTTCCCTTACAAGGTTTTGTCCCATTGGGTTTTCCTTGCAAGGTTTTTAACGAGGCAACCAAAAGGCGTATTTCTAAATATGTGTACTCTTTTTCCTTCATTAGGATTTTTTTTCCATAGGGTTTTTTCCTAATAAGGTTTTAACGAGGCACATTATTTATGGACATCCAAGGGGGAGTGTTATGATAAAAATCAAAATATGGTGGATGTCTACTCTTCCTCCATTATCTTTCTCTCAAATGGTTAATGACATATTCAATGACATATTTTCTATGTTCAATGACATATTCCATGTCATATTTTCTTCACTTTTCATGCCTATATAAAGGTCTTGTAATAGATAGGAAAATACACACAATTGAAGAAGAAAATTTCTTCCTTTCTCTCTATCTCTTTCTTGTTCATGTTTTACTAAATTGTCTTTATTTCTTGTTCATGTTTTACTAAATTGCTTTTATTTCATAACACCCTTAAAGTTTTTCACACTTTTTACTTAAACACTTCATCTTAAGTCTATTTTATTTAAACACTTTAACCAGGCTTTTACTATGTTATTTAGACACAATGTCACAGGATACGTGTTTTTCACATATTTTAAACGCGTGAAAATGGTCCCAAAAAAAATAAACATTTCATACATCTAGCCGGAAAGTGAATAATTATTGCCGGAAAACTTTTTTGGTGAATGTTTCTTTTAAATTTTTAGTTCTTTCACACTACTACTATCATCTCCTCTCCAAAATCTAGGCACGCCACCACTGCCACCTTTATATTTGGTAACCACCATAAATTTGGAGATCTGAGAATGTTAAGAATCACAGCGAAAAGATCTCAAAAGCTTATAGTGATGATCCTGCTGCCTTCTCGTCATGTTGCTGCTAAAGTTTCTGTTTTTCTTTTTTCTTTTTTCTTTTTTCTTTTCTTTCTAGGGAAAAAATGGAAGAAGATTAAGAGGAGAAAAATAAGAATATCTTAGAGGGAAAAAAGGGGATAATGGGAAAAAAACGAGTCAAGTGGATAAAATTTCTGGAAGGGAGATTGATTTTAGTTGATATATATATATATATTCAATCTAACTTTATCTTAAAAAAAAAGAAAGACACGGTGATGCTGTTCCGATCACTGATCAACACCCCACCTCAACAACACTCTTTTACCTCTGTAAAAAGGCCTATGGCCTTGGCGAAGATGACAGACGGGTGGGATGGGATTTTCGTTTTTATATTTTTATTTTTTACAAATTTATTTAAATTAACTCTACATGTCCTCGTCTTATTGGTTGCTCTGTTATGTGAATTACACGCACCTTTTGGGTTTGGGTGACTATAAATTTTGTATCTAAATGACACAGTAAAGTCATAGTTAAAGTGTTCAAATGAAACCTATTTAAGATAAAGTGTTTAAGTGAAATGTGTGGACAACTTTAAGGGGATATCTGACATATTTTGCCTAGTTACAACGATCTTTTACCATGCCTAACTAAATGAAAGAAAGTAAGAGAGAGAGTGGCCGCCTATTTCTTAAATGAAAATAAAGGACTTCCTTATCCTAAAGCTGTCACGGAATGAATCTGGTAACTAATGCCGCCAGAGAGGCTGAGGTGAGTATGGTTGCATCGCCTCCGACAACTTCTTTTGCTTTATAGCTACGGCTCTTATCATTAGGGGCGTAAAAGTCAGAAAAAGTAGAAACAACTTTGTAACTAGGGCACCCACTGAGCACCACGCTCCCTGCATTACTTTCAGAATATGCAATATTTCCACTTTTCGACCAAAAAAAAAATGTAAGGAGCGTTACTGAACACCACAAGTTGGATCTGAACCAATGTAAATTCTTCCACTAATAAACTGAGCAAATTACAAACACTAATTGAATAAATTTAACTGGAATCAAAGGACTCTAACACACAAATTCCGTAGCTAATTTTGCCTATTCTACTGCTCTTTAACTACTTTACCTCACCCAATTCACGCTTACGTGCTCCTAACTCGGGTTCCACACATTATTTACTAACTTCCCAAATGTGTCATCCGCGGCCATTTCATTCATAACAACTTGTGATTATCTTCTCGTTTCGAATAAATATGTCCAAAGAAGATATTAAAATTCTACAAAAGACAGCCAAGTAGATTACTGTAGTTCTGCTTTTAAATCATCTCAAATTATGATGTACTAAAACTAATTGCCATATTACAAAAAACTTCAAGCCAACTTACATTGGAAAGGTTTTTGAATCACTGATACTGGAAGTGCACATTTCAAGGGGTAAAACAACAGCATGCACAGCCGTTAAAGCTTGTTTTGCCGAGCTGCATAGCAAGTCATCTTTCCATCTGTACAATTTATGTATACAATCCTACAACAACAAAAAATATATAGAGGTGAACTCGTAAATTCGTGGGCTTTTGTCCTGGATATGAGATACATGCATGGAAGAGAAATTTCTTGGACAAACAAACGACTGATGAAATCAGGTTATATTTACTGCATTCTGTTTTATGATTAAGCTGATAACAGACGTGCACGATATAAGTTAGGAAATTGCTTCTACCAATGCCTTGAAATTTAGTGGCAGATTATCAGTCAACAAAAACAACAACAACCTAGTGAGTTCGCATAATTGGGGTCTGGGGAGGGTAGAGTGTTCGCAAGCCTTACTCCTACCCCGGAGGGGTAGAGAGGTTGTTTCTGAAAGACCCTCGGCTCAAAAAAAGGAAAAGAGACAAGAGAGACAAAATGTTAGAACCATATCAGCAATAACAACAGCATAAGAACAAGTAAATAGATAAGAAAAATAACAAAAACCAGTGAATAAAGCCCGCTATTATGAAAAACGAAAGAATAGTGTGGACACAACAATAATCGGTAGCAGCTTAGGACCCAACATTATCAGACCAGCCTCTCCCATCGACAAACCGTATCAACTACCTCCTATCCTAACACCCTAATGCTCGACCTCCACACCTTCCTATCAAGGGCTATGTCCTCGAAAATCCAAAGCCACGCCATGTCCTGCCTGATCACTTCTCCCCAATACTTCTTAGGCCGCCCTCTCCCTCTTCTCGAACCCGCCAAGGCCAACCGCTCACACCTCCTGACCGGGGCATCTGGGCTTCTCCTTCGCATGTGCCCAAACCATCTAAGTCTCGCTTCCCGCATCACCCACCTTCTCCTTAATATCTTCATTCCTAATCTTATCCATCCTAGTGTGCCCGCACATCCACCTTAACATCTTCATCTCTACTACTTTCATCTTCTGGATATATGAGTTCTTAACTGGTCAGCACTCTGCCCCATATAACATGGCCGGTCTGACCCACCTTGTCATCCACAAGGGTCACACCCACCTTCTCCCTAATATCTTCATTCTTAATCTTATCCATCCTGATCATTTCTCCCTAATACTTCTTAGGTCGCCCTCTCCCTCTTCTCGAACCCGCCAAGGCCAACCGCTCACGCCTCCTGACCGGGGCATCTGGACTTCTCCTTCGCACATGCCCAAACCATCCAAGTCTCGCTTCCCGCATCTTGTCATCCACGGGGGCCACACCTACCTTCTCCCTAATCTCTTCATTCTTAATCTTATCCATCCTAGTGTGCCCGCACATCCACCTTAACATCCTCATCTCTGCTACTTTCATCTTCTGGATATATGAGTTCTTAACTGGTCAGCACTCTACCCCATATAACATGGCCGGTCTGACCACCGCTTTATACAGATTATCAGTGAGATGGAAAAAGAAAAGATTACTAGTGAGGAAATAAAACCAGGTTTTGGAGATAATTAAATTTTGATGAAAATAACCTTGGAGTTAAATATAAAACTGATAGAAAATAATCACAACTGGATGGAGTTGGGGAGCAGAATGGGAGAAATGGGCTAAGAAATCCATTTATTGGCTGTCTCACACAAGAACCTCATACAAGTCCTTTAGATGCATAGACATGATCACATTTTCATAATTCACCTTAATTGTGAGAAAATTGGATTTTCAATTAAAAAAGAAAGGTTCTTTTTCCGCTAAAAATCTTATTTGACCCCCAAGTTTAGTCTGGAAGGAAACAGCAATGAATAAGACAAATCAGCAGCTAAAATACAGATAAAAGATCAAATTCCTGTCTTATGTTCTAGGAAACGGTTGATATAATTTTTTTGAAAAGGAAAAAGGATGATATAGTTAACAGCATAAAAAGTGTATGGCACACAGGACGAGGAAACTTCTCCAAATTCACACCAGAAGTCAATTCTAGTATATGGTTATGACAAGCATAAACAAGAAACTATGAATGGGAAGTTAGCATGGGAAAGAAGAGACAACCTTGTCTTCGAGCAGAAGCACTAGCCTTGTATAAACAAGTTCTTGGAGTCTAGGAAAACATAATCAGATCGGTGCATGTCTCTTCTGTAACTTCCTGGGCACAAGTACTACAAAGAAAGAAAGTTGCTAATTGTGAAAACAATCAAAGAAATGAGATGTTAAATATAAGGCGCAAAAAGATACCTTCGTCCATACTGCAGAAACTTTCGGGGGGGAATATGGAATCAGGGTCAATTGTTTGCTGCAGAGGTAGGGCATTAGCCACACTGAGTTTGCTGCATAAACAAGAAACAACCAATTTTGGTTAAGAAGAATGTTAACAGGTACATAACAAGCTAAATATTACATATGCAGTGCAAAAGCAATGAGGATCTAAGACAGTTAAGGTTATTATTTTCTTTACTGTTTGTAACTATCAAACATAATGATCAGCTTCCAATATAATGTAAAGGAAAACCTGAAGATTTATTGCTTCAGGTGCTAATAAGGAATTAATTTAATCACCTGGACCATGAGGGAACAAATTTTCGAATGGGTAGATCTTCATCCTCATCCTCTTCATCATCGGAGCACTGATAAGGTGAGATCTCATATGATTTCTCTTGACTTTTCTTGGCAACGCATTCAGTGTTTGCATCAGGTTTCCCCAATACACATGTTACCTATGCAAATAAAATGCATGCAAGTGTGAGGACTGAAAGCAAAACTCTATTTATGAACATTGGATCAGACAATATAAAACAAGCCTTCTTACTATAATTAGTGAAATATAAAATTTTACCTAGGTAAGGCAAGTGTCCCAAATGGATTGTAACCTAACAACTTCAGAATTCTGAAGAATATAGAAAAACGGGCATGCCTAACAGATCCAAGAATACGATGAAAGGCTAGAAGTGGTTTGAGCAGTAGCAGCACAGCGCTTCTTTGTATCTCAATCAGGTAAGTTCTTTATATTTGGCACAATATTGAACTGTCACTAATTCTGTTAGCAGAAAGTGACTAAATAACATAGCCATTTTTTATAAGGAGAAATAACATAGCCATTTTTTATAAGGAGAAATAACATAGCCATTCTTCATCTAGATTATGAACTTGCTATGGGATGCATTGTCTTTTAACTTTCTCCTGTGAAAGTTTCTGTAGAAAATAGAAAAAGGAAGAGGGCAGGACTAGAGTTCAGAGAATACAATATAATGGCTAGGATTGTTTGGGCAGTAGCAGCACACAACCCATTTGCATCAGAAGCAGGTAAGCTCCTTGCCTTTGGCACAATAATAAAAAGTCAACCAATTTTGTAGCATACATAAAAAACGGCTTCAGACCTAAGTCCACTCCTTGCTGAGCACTATTGGATTGTGCTTCTGTATGTCAACTAACTTCACTTTCAGAGTAGAATGACATATGTGAATTGCATATGCATCTCATACATAATATTTTGTGAATGTCTACTAGATAAAGCAAGATCTATCCTTGCAAAATGAACTGGAACTGGCTTCTCTGTGGGATGTGTCTCTCTTTTTCTAATGATGCTTTGCTAGGTTGCTTCTTAACAAAAGTCATGCTGGACTGCAGAGATTAAAGCCTGTCCACTAGAGAAACTTAAAAATGAATTAGATAAATAGAGAAGTAGATACTAAAAGGTAGTGGAAGAGAAAGGAAGAAACAAGGACAAATGAGTATGTAAGGATTGTTGCTGTTTGGTTTACTGCTAATAAAGGAGGAGGCCTTTTCAAGCACACTGGATTCGTTGTTGATGTTTCTGCAGGAAACACTAGCTAGGGAGCACAGTCGGTGCTCTGAGAGTGCCTATTGAAGGATGGCATCTCAAAGTGATAGTTCAAGAAGACGTGTCAAAACAAAAGCCCCCTGGGATTTTGGAACTCAAATACACCAGTCAATGCAAACAGGGTTACAAGGTATAGATAGCCTAGTTCCTACAGATAGCAGCCAATCATAACTTTTTTCTTGGCGTG